GTTTTCGACGCATCCTACAGGACGAACAACATATTTTTGTCGCTTCTCTCTATGTGTTTTTCAGCCAATTTTCGATGGTTGTTAATTTCTTTCGGATATTTTGCGAAAATTTGTTTGTACTCTACTGGTCCATTGTTGGATGATCAGTTGGATGATCCACTTTATCTTCTGCGCTTCGGCAATACGAATCCAAGGAGCAGGGACCACCCTCCGCTCGTCTAAATGGAGGAATCATCTCGAGTGTATTTATCCACGTGATCTTCGAGCAACAAACGTAGAAATCCTTAAATCCTAAATCAACCTGCCGCGAAGCCGAAACCGAAGGCAAACTGCAAACAAACGGTGGCAGTGGCTGCGTGAGCGTGTGGGGGTAACCCAACGCGGTCCAATCTGGCGAGAGTCAAATATTGGGTGTCCAAACAGACGGTGCTTCTGCGGGCCATTCGAGCACGTCGCGATTTAATGGAGGCGCGGTTCGCGACTAATCCTATTTTATTATCGTCTCGACCTGGAGAAAAGTGGCCGGCGATCCGGAACGAACGAAACTTACGAAATTCTGCGAAATCCTTGACCGTTTTAGACACACCTCACGGGAAAGAAAAAGAAAGTGGAGAAAACGTCAGACGAAGAGTTATTGGCCAAAAGGGAATTAACAATTTTTACTTTCAGACAAACTGGCATTTTAGGTTATGCCTAAGAAGTGTTTTTACACAGTCTAATAATATAATTATTATCCTCCCCTCCATCAAATTACCCTTTCCATCGGCACAATGTTCACCTTCAAAACGGTTCTGCCAACCCTCGCTACAATTCCCATCCGAAGAATCCATCAAACCGACCAGGAAACACCTTTTGATCCCGCCGAAATCCGGAAATCGTTCCTCAAACAATCGTCCCCCGCCATCCCCCTTTGGGATCGACCTCGCAAAGACACGTCGATCGGATGGGTGGGAGGGGGCGTCGTAAAAAATGCTTTTCGCGAGGTATTACCCCGGGGGAAGCTTTTAAGTCGGCTCCTTATCTGAAACGACCTGGCTTCTCGATAGCCAGCGAACGGTGGCGAACATGGAAACGAAAAGAGCGGAGGGGAGTGGGGTTTGGGTGGGAGGGAGAAGAGGCTGAACGTCAGCGAAGACAATGACCGCTGTTCAAACAGCCGGGACTTCAAACGGGCGCCGCGTTGGCTCAGCCGCCGCGAAAGGCTCGACGCCATTGCGTTTTAAAAGCGGTTCCTGCGGCGCGGCCGCGGGAGTTTAAGGACATCCGCCCACTGAAATAACAAATATTTGTGCCACGGAAGGCTGCAGACTCGGCGAACCCTTTCATTTGTAACGACAAGCTCGAAATTAGTGGGGCACAGGGAGCAACAACGAAGATTCGGTTCTGATGTTTTACTAGGACACGTCTGGTCAGCCAGCAAACCCCCGGAGCAACACGCCCGCGTCCATCCTGATGGACCTTGAAATAACCGAGTCTCTTGTAAATACAGGTGCAACACGCGAAATAATAACTGGTTCAAATGGCCCGGGCGTTTTCTGGGCAGAACGACCGTGCACACGCCGCGGGTTTTTCGACGCGGTTGTTGCGAGAGGATAGGCGGCGAACACTAAAACCGGGCTCGCGAAAGTATGGGGAGAGCTCGGTTCTTACGGCGTTTCTCGGCGCCAAATCAATTGCGAAGTTCATTCGTGAAACAGGTCTGGCGAATCTCCGAACACCTTGGGCAGACAGACTTCGATCCATCCAGCGTGAAGGTGACAAAAGGTGGCACTTCAGGTGCGATCGAACTGTAATTACGCGGCGAACGTCGAACACACCGAAGGCAATGCGTCCCTCATCTGCATATATGCTAGAAAAGTGGTTCAGGGTCTTGTGACTGACGAGCACCGCCCGCTCCTAATCGTTCAATCGTTAAAAAATTCACAAAAAGGACGCCGCGAGGGTTGGCGGCGGCGGCGAATGGCGATGATGGTGGTGGGGGCCAAGGCGGGAGAAAAAGAGTCCTGAGAAACAAACTAAGACGAGACTCTGTTCGGCACCGGGCACCGCCCTAGCACTCCACCCATCCATCTACAGCTTGCATATATTTTTGGGCAGCTAGTTTTTTTCCCCAAGGGAGATTTATCACATCCGTACGCCTCTTTCGCGGGTCTGCTCCATCAGTGCGCCGACGTGTGGCAGGGAATAATTGGCAGGCTCGAAGGAACGGCCTCACGTTTAGTTCGGGAACTGTCTTTCTCTCTCTCTTTCTCTTCGCTCGTAGATTGTTCGAGGAACGGTGAAACCGTCGCGAATTGGCAAAGTGGATGGAAGAAATCTGCTGGTTCAGCGCCGGTTGCTCTGGTAAACACCATTAAATTGTTCCCAAGATCGCATTGGCTACTATGTACGAGGTTCGATGAAAAAGTTTTTGGAATTTTTATTTATTTCGAGAAAATATTCAAGACGCCATTGGGGGTCACGTGCTACCTGGGCAGTCACAATATTAAGAAGCAAAATCCCTGTTCCTGTCTCAAGACCTCCAAACCAAAGGTAAACATAAATTCAATACAAGAAACACAAAGCATATAAACCTAAATGGAGTTCATTAGTGAACAAAACAACGACAGTTGAAGGAGAAATATTAATTTCAAGAAGAACAATCGAGGACACTAATCACGAATCTCGATATCACCTGCGGAGGAGGTTCCCTCTCCGGTTCTATCCGGATGAAAATCTGTGCGATCGATGCCAGCAGCACGAAGTCGTTCCTCCAGTTAGAAGCAAACGGCATCGGCTAATTAAGTCACTTGGGACGCGAGCGGCTCGTTTTCTGACGCCAGCGCGGTACAGAATGCCAGATAATCGACCCACTTCCCGTGGCATTTCTGCCATTTCCTCGGCGTCTCTCGCACGCGTGTTCTCGTAAGTAAGAGAACGGCCACACGATTATTCCATGTTTGGCGTAAAACGTCGTGGCGGCCCCGAGCCTGAGGAACTTCGAACGTTTTACCTTGAAGCAAGCCCGGCTCCGCTCGAATCCACGGAACAAATTTTCTTGACGGCTCGAACCGGCTTGGATAAATTACGTGGCCGTTTACGGACGTCTACCGACGACTCTTTATGGCAATGTCGCGACGGGAATTGAAGCGGGAACGTTTACCCGTAGAAGCGCCTAAGAGCTGACTCTGATCGCTAACATTTCGACAAGAAGTTAGTAACGATTGGTCAGCCGGGGAATATTGATATTTATACACTGTGGAAGTAAAAAACCGGACGTTCCTTGTAGGATGTACCTTAACTATACCACGAACACTGCCAAATGTCATCTACGTGTAATTTGTACGGCTATACTTGTATTTCAAGTTTATGGTTATATTTAGTTTTTTATATAATTATATAATTTGTACCATTATAATATAAAATGATAAATAATTTATACATTTTCCGGAGTTATTTAGTATGTCGTCGATAGGTGGTTCATTATGGTAATGAACACATCGATCGTCCCACACATCTTTTTGATTTTTGGACATCAAAATTGAATTGATGAAATATTCCTTTGAAGAGAATAAAACGATGAAAGGAATACAGACGTTTCTTTCGAAATTATTAATTCTGAAACATTATACTTCTTTTAATACGGTTTATATATTTAGAAAAAAGAGTAGTATTCAATTTTTAGTCATTTATCATATATATTATTATATTGTCCGTTACAAAATTCTATAAGAACCTCAAATGTTGTTCTATCCGGATGAAGTGTGAAAACCAAATCACGTATTACTTTACACTACCTAGTAAACAGCTTAAATTATGAATAGTGTGAATTTTCCCCATGATTTGTTGCATTCACATTCAGGATCAATTTAAGTATACAAGTTTTGATTAAAATGGTGAAACGAACCAGAATTCTCTTCACTTCTCTAGAGCTTTAATCAAGTCTGGAACATCCTAATCGAGAATAATTGTAAATCCAGGACCTCGGAAAAGATTCCCGCATTTTTCGTTGCCACGTTGTACACATTCTAGACAAATGCCCCCGGCCGAAACATAAACAGCAGCCTGTGTTAACTTACAGCAACTCTATCCATTCGCCAAACAGACGGGAATTAGCCGGAAGAGAAGCCCCGGTTGCTAAAATGCACTGGAAACTAGGACTAAACTTGGCTCGTGCAAACACAGTTGTACACACAAGGTTCAAATTTGCTCCTGTTTTCTTTTATCTCGTTCTCTTAAAATCCGCTGAAATTTTTAACTTCTCCACGCAAGACGAATATCGATCCAGGGATCCTGGTTTCGTATTATACGCTACTGGCGTAAACATCATATACATAACAAGGACTTATCGATGTCACCAGTCGACGAGGTGCTCGAAATCAGTTCAAAGAAAGACTTTCGTGCCAGCAGAATCGTGTAGTGAGAATTTTAGAATGAACGTGCAGAAATTTTCCGAAGAGTTCACGGAGTTAGTGAACCGATGGAGGAGGCCTATTCAAAACGTAAAGTATATGTTTCATAGAAAAATGAATTAAAAGAAGCTGACGATGCCGTCATGTTAGTAACTATGAAAAGGAAGATAAAGTGGTCAATATTGAAGATCATATAATAATCTTTATACGTGTATTGAATAATATTAAATTGCTAAACAAACTGTGATCATTGGAATAAATATATTAAAACAGAAAGGTTTTTAGATAAATAATGTGTATTCAGAGTCTTGTATACCTGTCGGTTGTTTTTTTATATTATTTTTAAATAGTGCTGCAACGATAATTCCTTGGGAAAAATTAGATTGTCGTTCAATGAAGATTTGATAAATCAAATTTGTACAGCTACTTCCAAGCACATCTGTTTCAAAAAATATTTTATGATGATATTGCAGTACCTCTATTAAAATTTAAATACAAATATACAGGTACTTCTTTTATTCCAGTTTCAATATTTAATCTACTGTGGGCTTAAAATAATGTGAATTTAAGATTAAGGATGTAAACTGACTGAGAGAGATCATATTATACTCGTTTAAGTAATGTGTAATGGACAACAGAAATTTTAAATTACTGGTAGAATTAACAAAGATCACTATTTTCGAACATTTTAGAAAGACGGCACTTCCGCTCCCTCTTTAACCAGCAGACAAATAGTGTACACCGTACAAGCTGGGCTTCATGTGATTTTGGGTGACACATCTGTATCACGGTAGTTAACATACTCTCGTTTGACATTTCCCTAACCTTCTCCTTTATAGAAGAAGATTCGTATCCTATTCTAGCGTAATAATTTCAGATCCGCATCGTTGAACAACTTACTAACGTTAGCTGAATCGAACGAAGTTAAGTCAATCAAATCACCGACATGGAAAAGTCAGGAGAAGATAGACATCGACGAAAATGGAGCAAGCATCACGTTACCTAAGGATAAGAAGGTGCCTTTTGATAGTATATTTGCACTTCAATATACGATTAAATAAATTTTTTTCAACAGAAACATCGTTCCAAGTTACATTTGTCTTAAACTTTTGTATATCATGAATACTGCATTCACATTTTCAGATTATCTCACAATCGGGTTTAACCATTCACGCGAGCTCCATCCCCAAATCCGATACGTTCATTCGCGAGCAAGCTGAAAAAGATGCGGCAAATGCCTTCGCCGAGCGGGAGAAGAAAAAAGCTCTCCTCGAAAATGAGACGCTCGGTTACGAGCTGCAAATGATCATGAAGAAAATAGACTCCTTACGCGAGTACACCTCTAATGTTGTGTCGAATATGAACAATCTGGATCAGGTGAACAAATTTATTTGTTTATTTACTATTTCACACTTTCCACCTGCTCCTCGAATATCTCAATTTCTACGTTAATGATTTCAAAGGGGTGAAAATTCTTTTTTGGTAATTTTTTTTATTGTATTCCACGAAATTCAACTCACACCCAAAGCCTTTATCTTCATTCCTATGGAATTCAGTTTGAACGAAATGCCGGGAATAACAAGTAACTAGATAATCCAGTTAATTTATTTTCCTAGTCAGTTTATCGCACTAATAATTCATTAGTATTAAGCAATTATGAAAGTGGTGTGAGTCATGTTTATTTCGTTTTGAAAATTCTTTCATAATATCTAATAAATAAGAGAAAAACTCATTTTTTTTTTGGTTTCTTGACTTACACCACTTTCATAATCACAATTTATAAATTACAATCTAGAAAACGCAGGGACGAGGGAAAATGTAAAATATACATCGTAGTGGAATATTATTCCATTCAATCCATTTCTCGCGTTCTAGTCCATTATTTTCAAAGTAAAAGGAAATGTGCAATTTACAGGATGTAGTTGGCAAATCCACAAAACCCAGACGGCGGTTATCTCTCGTAGGAGCTACTACCGGAATGAAACGCTCTTCTCCGCTGATGAGATCAATTCCGTCATCTAAGAATCGAAGATCCGTGACACGATCCCCGGGTACATCCACCCCCTCAAACCTGAACACTACGATTACGGCCGTGAAGAAGAATGCGGTGTCCACGAGGCGCTCAACTATCGTTGGTGCGGGTGACTTGAAAAATCTGCCGAAAGTCTCATCGTCGATTAATTCGCCAATGGTGCCGGCTATCTCGGTCACCAAAAATTCACCAGTGGCCAATAGCAAAACCTCGAAAAACTCGAAATACGCGCACGTGCAGAGTACCATACCGAAAGTTTTGGCAGGCAAACGGAAAGCTGAATGAATCGACAGACAGTGAAGAGACAAAGCTTTTGTTCTGTTGTTTTATCGAAAGCAACATGAATTTTATGGTTGAAAATAAATGTCTGTGCAGCGAAAATGAATCTGTCGGGAAAGCTAAATATCGGGATTTAACAAGCAGGTTTTATTTTGTGGTAAAAATGTCTTTAGAAAGTAAAAAAAATTGTTATTTAAATTATTCTATTTAATGTTTTTTCAAATTCTTCTGTAGTCATAAATCGACCGTGGATTGGTAAAGTTTTAAATATAGACAGAGAAATATGTCCTAGATAGTGTTAAAGGAAGATATATAAATAGTTACTCCTTCGTTATTTCATATTAATGCAAGAAATATCTCACGCTGGCGAAATTTTTCACTTGAAGGAACAGTTTTAACGAAAATTATACATAATATTGAGTTTTAAACGTAAAATAATATACACGATTTTTAACATGTTTTTTGTATTAAAATAGAATGGAAGATATTTGAAGATCTACATATTAACAAATGTAAAAATAAATTTCTGTATTCTGCATTGAAAAAATTGATTTTAGTACCTATGTTGATCAGTCATTTTTCACTCCACTCGGTGTGAACTATAAGCGTCAAAAGTCTTAAACCCTTTGTTTTGAACACTCTGTATATATTACTCGAAAATATCTACTTACACAATCTTTCCACTACAAATTCAACTTTTTGCAAATCAAATTCACCCACACCTGCAAATCAAATTCAACCTTTTGCAATTTCCAAAATAGAAAGTAATGAAGAAGTATTTCAAAAAATGGACTCAGTACTGAAATTTCAAACGATTTCTGATACGCTTTGAGTGCATTTTTTAATATGTTTTCTTACTTTTTATTTCGGAAATTCCAAAGCGTTGAATTTCATTCGCAAAAGGGTGAATTGATTTACAAACAGGGGAACTACATCTGCAAAAAAAATTTGATATGGAAAATGTTGAATTTGGTGTGCAGAAACTGTATTCTGGTATATTTAAAATTCCGAACATTCTCCGCGACACAACGATCGATGAAGTTGCATCACGCGCCGGGCGTAACGCTCGATCACACGCGTACACTTTCGAAACTCGATCGCAGCCTCGACGTGGGTGAATCGGCCGCGGGCGGTGCTCTGGATGATGCATTTTCGTCGTTTTCTCCCCCCTGTTCCCCGTCCCCTTCGCCAACCCCCTCTGAACACCTTGCATACCTGAAGCTGCAACGCGATGCAAGAATGGGAGCGTGTCGGCAGGCGAAAATTGTTAAGCTTCGGCTCGTTGTTTGATCGCGGACGAATTCGTGCTCGGAGCGTGGCCGCGAGCCAGCGCGGAGCTCGCGATCCCCGTGCAGATTCGCCGCAGAAATGGGCGTGAAGATCGATTTTCTCATTTTTTTTCTCCCCCCGAAATGTGATTTATTGCGGTGATTTCGTGCACGGCCGCGTCCTAAGATTTTAATCGACCGGACACTGGCACCGCTTCTGCTCGATTCATCATGCCACGGCCGATACCGCGGGCGATTCGTGAAATTCTGTGGGTTTATTGGGAATCTTTGCGGGGCACCGAAAATTCTGTATCGTTATATGTATGTACTTCGTTAATCACGTGATTCGACTGTCTGCGCGTAAAGTGTGTTTCATATTTCACGAATGAATGGTATTAGAAAAATTGATTTTGTATATTGATACATCATTAACAATATATCTCATCATCTTCAACGCGTTCTTTTAATTGATTAGAAATTACTTTGACTTAATTACTATAAAGGGGGGATAACAACGAGTTAACGCGCGAACCCTTTCGCGTTACTAAGTTACGACGGACAAATTAACTATTAGCATCCCGGCCTCTAATTATAAAAATCGCGTAGGCGGTACACTTTGGCGCCGCGAGCCTTCATCAATCATCCGTCAATCTGGGAACCGAGGTCTCCTCTAGATTGTCTGATCTTTGTCTAGAAAGGTAGACTACCTAGTTGGTAATCTATAACGTTGCAATTATCCCTCGCGATTTCGACGGTCTATCTAATAGGTTTTTGAATCGTGTTGAACGAATTTGGAACGAATAGATGCTTGAGAATAGAAATTAGTGTTAACTAGGTTCTGATACCCTTTGTTACGTGGAGAATAACCTATTCTCTTATTAAATAAAATATATCAACAATTTTACTTAGTCCTTTTATTTTATGAGAAATTATTTTCTTATTATCTTATTTTCGTTATTATCTTGTGTATTAATTTTCAGTCATATTTTAGGAAAGTACGTTTCTGACAATGAAAATATCAAGCACGAAATAAATAATCTATACATTACTCTTCTATTCGTTATGTTACTCACTGGAATATTATAAACTCAATATTCCATGTGTATTTGTATAATACAGTAAAGGCTCCATGAGAGTTTGAAACTCGAAACTGCTTCAAACACCTCACAAATCAATTCTTTGCGACACAATTTTTTCTCAGTATTTTCTCAGAACAGCAACTATATTCCGACAAAAGTCTTTTCCTAACGTCACCCACCAATTGCTCTATACATTTACCCGATACCATATAATCAACCATAAGAACAGCCTCGTTTCACCGCGAGAGTCCCATCAGATATCTCAATCCCTGCAAAGCGTCATTTCACGGAACCTCTTCATCAGCTGATCAACCGATCCGATTGCCTCTGGTTGCATTTATAACGATGTTCATGTAACCCCCACTGGCGGTTAAACATTCGCCCCTCGAGGCTGATTAAATAAGTATCAAAATAAGGAGCGAACATCGGCACTGTTATTACTCAATCGTTCTATCATGATAATCGCGATCCATTATTCCGGATTGTCGATTTTCACCTGATTTCCATGCGAGTTCCGTCAGCGCCGCTCCTGGTGTACGAATTAAATTGTTCTGACGTCGTCAGTTTACGCGACCCAGAATTGCGGTTCATCAATATTAATGAATCAAAACTGTTCCCGTTTGTTTGTTTTTTTTTTAGGGCGTGTACGGTAATGACACGTTCTTGTTGTCGTTAATACCGTGATCAGCGAGATCCCCAGCTGCCCACTTTGTCCAGAAAACGAATTTACCAACGGGCAGCAGCCTGGCTTTTTGCCACTACCAGCCAGCACACAGTTACCTTTCCCTCTAGGTCCAAGGGAATCGGTCCACCGAAGATGTTCCGGAGGACGTGCAATTTGCGTGGCAAAAACAAATCGCATCTTTCAAAAACATACTTGACGAGAGAGAAAAAAGCGTGGCGAATTTCGGAAGGACAGAGCCCCGATGAGCATGTACCTTATAGAGAAGTAGACCCTACTACGGAACGGCGTTGGACGTTTAACATCCTCTTTTGTTCAGCGTGCAGGCATCGAAAGATGAGTTCTATAAATCAGAATGTAAATCTGGTTAAGGGACGGAGAGATCATTAATCATACACATTGGTGACTTCGAAGACAATGATATCCTAATGGGAGCTGGTGGCAAAAAGTGACACTTTAGCAGCAATGTATTGAAGACATATACACTGCCTCTCATAAGTGTTTAGACACCTGGTCTGTATGAAGAAAATTTGATGTTTTTCACACCGTGAACCAACTCCGTAATTGGCCCGTAAATCGCGAACAGACCGTACCTGTTGATCAATTCTCCCTTCGCTAAACAAACTCATTGCGCCAAGTGTCCGAAAATTCGGCAGTCTTCATGACCGGTTCGAGCCGAAGGAACACCACCATTCGGGAGAGTTGCATACGATCACGCGATCCATGCTCGAAACCAGTCGAGCCTGCAATTACGGCCAGTGTTAACACTGGAGCCCACCCTGCCACCTGTTATCAGAACACGGGATCTATGATTCTCATGCAAAACTCGAGCGATTTCAGGTAGCAAAAGAAAGATCTCACGCAGCGTGCGTTTCGTTGCAGCCTATCCATGGGGATCACCTTGGAAGTGAATCCAGTGGAAAACTAGGGTAAAACGAGAGTCGATGTTGCTGAACCAGAAGAGTGTGTAGCAAAAAATAGGCGTGGAATAGAAGCGGCCCAGGATATACGGTAAACGCCAGTTTGGATGGGTTCCCTTTCCAGCGCGCGATCTTCCGTCCGGCCGGAAAGGCATCATCGACGGGAGGGAAACGATGATTATACGTGTCTTTTTAACACAAAAGGCTCGAAAACCAACACCGTAATACGACGTGGTGCACGGCGCCCTGTAATTCACCGCGTCCACGCCGAGGCCCTGGTTTCGTGATGAGACAAGCGTTCTTGAAAATTGCGATAGTCGCCCCGAAATAAGGTGAGATTGGACCCCCGATCCTGGGGTCCCGTGGCCGTTAACCAACGGAGCTCTTCTCTATCTCTTTCTCTCTGTTCCTCTCCTGGTCGAGTTATTATTTGTTTTTGCCCCGGGCGACCATCACGGTGTGCTTATCGAGTCACCGTTTGCCTCGGCTGCAACGTGGCGCGTCACGCCCAATACGGCTCGGGGGCAGGAAAATAAAAGCAGATGAGCGCGTCCGCTTGTTTCGTGAAAACGCGTGGGTGTTGGCGACCGAGTCCACTTTTTGGTGGAGGGAGGATCGAGTGACTTGATACGATTTTTGGGGAATCTAGAAGTGAGGGCAATAGTTGAAATTAAGAAAGATAGGTAAGTCTGGAGAATCTTCAGTAGCTAAATGTTCTATTGTTCGAAGAGTATCATCCATTATGTGATAACAGTATATGTATTGTATAATATTTCAAAAATCTCCTATCCTGTTGTTTCCAAATAACAGTAACCCAAGTACATAACCTGACCCAATATTTTTCGTGTTTGAACCGACACTCTAACCCCCTGGACGAGAGTTCCGTAGCGCCATAAAAATTAATCGCTGGCAAAAAACTGAATATCGTGGTTGTTCCTTTTTTTGTCAGGCCCCATTCAATCGACCGTCAGCGCGTCCGTGATTCATCGGGGCCAGGTCGTGAAGGAGGCCTAGAGAAGCCCCGGCAAAAAAAGGTTTGGCGAAGGCGCGAATCGAGTAAATTGTTAGGGAAGCCACGGAGCCTGCAACCCGGGCCCTAGCTGCAATTTCGGCCCCCGGGGGCCTAGCGGCGCCTCTCGAACGATAATTGATATCACCTGCCATGTAAATATCGGTTATCGGCAGCGGTTCTTCGGTACCTGTCGGTGGAAAAAGAGCCGCCACGATGGAAATTACCGAATAACCAACGGCGAGATAATTACGTGTTGGTTTTAGAAAAGGGGGAAGCACCGGTTAATTCCACACTTCGCGACCTGCACAAAAGGCCCCGACGCTGCCGATTCCCCGGCGACTTTTTTTCGTCTATACGGGACCCCGGTCGAAGGGGGGGGGGGCGGTCTCTTCGATTTGATTTTCGGATGTTGCAGGGAGCTCGAAGGCGTCTCGTGACGGGCCCAGAAGCGCCTGGTGCAACGTGGCGATGCATATGTATACTGTTCGTTTCGTGCC